GCTGCCCTCGTCGGAAGAGCATCCAACTCCCCACTCGCGAGTGCTTCATATTGGCAACAGCTCGCGACCAACCTTTGAGTCGTTTCAGAGCTCTTCGATGTCCTTTTTACATCGGCGTTTTTGAGTTTCCCCCTCCCCCATCTTGGGTCGTTTCGTAGTGTTTTGAACACCCTTGCTGAACTCCCTCCCATTACCATGGCTGACGACGCTTGCATGACCAGCAGCAACCTCCTGGACAGCCACGTTCACGTTCGCGAATATGATATCCATTTAAAGCCCAATTTCGACACCTTCCGCTTCGAGGGTGTATCGAAGATAGCATTGGACATTACAGATTCTACTAAAGTCATTAACCTTCACGCAAAGGAGTTGGCTATTAGTGCTGGGGTAGGTACAGCGCACGATGTAGCCGTGGTGTGGTATGATGCCGCAGGTTACACTAGAATGCCCCTCCAATGGGAAGACGTACAATTCTGAGTCCATCGCTGTTAGCGAGAAGAACACTACCTGCACCTTCTGTTTTGCAGAGGAGCTCCCAGTCGGACCAGCGGTCCTCACCGTCGATTTCGTTGGCACCCTCAACGACCAGATGGCCGGCCTCTATCGCTCGGCGTAGTACTCCATAGTGATCTGTTCAATTCCCAACCTCTTCTCGGCAGGTATGTGGATCAGTACGGCAAGCCCAAGCATCTCCTCTGTACCCAGATGGAGGCTATAGACGCTCGAAGAGCGTTCCCCTGCATTGACGAGCCCAGCGCAAAGGCTGTTTTCCGCATCACAGTCACCACTGAAGCTCATAGACAGGTGAGGGGCCTAGTAGAGTATGCCGTTCGTCTTCGGGGCAGCAGTAGAACCTGGTCAGGCAGCATGGGTCGCAGCCATGATAAGCGGAATAAGGACATTGCACTTTCTAGGTTATCTCCAACATGCCTGAGGCCTCCCGAGCCCTGTTCGCTGCTGAGCATAGTGGATCGTTGATGCAGAGAGTCACCTTTATGGCTTCCCCCTTGATGAGCCCCTACCTCATGGCACTGGTCGTAGGCGAGTTTGAATTTCTACAGTCCTCAACTCAGCGAGGCACTCTGGTAAGCAGAGCACCGAATGAGTCTTCGTAGACTCTTCTAGGTCCGTGTTTTGGCCACACCAGGGAGGAAGGACCAGTGCCACTTCGCCTTAGACGTTGCCACTCGCGTTTTGGAGTGGTATGTGGTGCTCGATAGTCGCCCTTGTGATGTCCCCATCTCAGGTACGAGAAGTTCTTCGGTCTACCCTATCCTCTCCCCAAGCTGGACCTTGTTGCCATTCCTGACTTCGCCTGTGGCGCCATGGAGAACTGGGGTCTAGTCACTT